CCTCCAAAAAAAAAAAAAAAAGGGCATCTCAACTTGCAAGAGCTGCTTTTAGGGGATTTTTAGCACCTAGCTGCCCAGTCTCCCTCTTGAATACCTTATAAAATATCTAGCAAACTGGTTGGAGCTGGTACTAAAGTAAAAACAAAACATCTCACTCTGCCAAAAGCCCTATAAATCTTATAAACAATTAAACTAAAACATAAAATATCAGATTGGTTTTGCTCAAAAATATTTCATGTGACTTGAACCCCCTTCCACCATGGGAAACCTACAAATATTACTCATTTTCAAACACATCCACTAATATTCTGCTCTACGTTCATACAGTCCTTTTTTTTTTTTTTTCTTGAACTTGCTCTTCCTAAGAAATGAAACTGAATGCAAACCAAATACATATATGATTATATGACCCGGATTTAATGTCCTTGGGATAAAATAACAGGAGATAAGAGTGAGTCATTGTTTTACAATTTACTGCAATGTATTTCTGTCATACCTTCTCACACCATTTTTCCTTCAGAGTTTTAAAATGCTCACATTAAAAACACGAGATATTATTTATTATAAAGGCAGAACATTTTGAAGAAAATAGAACACAAACGTGAAACAGTATTTCAGCTTATAAGCTAAAGAAAAACTGAATTAGTTTAATATTAGTTTAATATTAGCTAGACAGAGACCTCTTAGCTGGAAATAAGGAATGAAATAGAAAATAATGCAAATAGGAAAAAAGAAAAACACCAAAGGGGGGCTGCCAGAATTAGAGCCTACGTCTTTAGGTAAGAGAGTAAGAAATAATTGCATGGAACAAGAAAAAAAATCAGTTTAAATATGTGAAGGTATTTCGTGTATGCTTTCCCACAGTGTACTACTAAAATAAAAGTGCACACATTTCAATTTAAAGAAATTAAAATAAAAGTTGAAGAAAATGTATTATCCAAGGACTTTGACTATTCAGAAGTATAACAAGGGTATAAATCACTTAACAATGTTTTTTTTTTTCTCATTCTAACAGCACTGTCCTAGCTGCCTTAAATATCTTCTAGAACAATGAGAGGTATAAATAAATAAATTCATAAATAAATAAGTAGAGAGATAGCATTCTCTTGCTAAATGCCACCGCTGAAGGCAAGAGAAAAGTCAAAGACTAAATTATGAATAAGGAAACTGTCAGATAGGGTTTTGAGTAATTTAACTACAGTTTTAGTGCTTTTGGTTTTCTCAAAAATGCACTGCAAGCTCTTGGCGGCAGCACAAAGTGCTTGGGGGGTTTGTTATGATGCAGATTGTGGGCTTCACACCAGGAGATATCGATTTAGAAGGTCAAGGAGCTTAAGAACCTGCATTTTCAAGCAGCTCCCAGGAGGTTATAAATGCATAACTTTTAAACTTTGAAGGTTATACTTTGAAGAAACTATTGCCTAAAATAAATAAACTTTTTTTTCCAGCAAAAACACGTTTCAAAGCATAAAGGAACCTTTAAATCTAAACTTTATTCTTATGAACCATCTATCTTGTAATCTTTGGTAGCCAGTGAGTTAGCCCAATGGAAATTATCTGTTTAGCAGTGATAAAAATTGTTTCTGCAGGTTTCATCAAGCCACACCTGCCTGATAGCAATGTCGAATGGTTGCAAAATGCAGGCCGAGGCTTACTTTAAGACAACTGCACAAATATTGTTTAAGAATTCTTCACAAGTGCTGCTTAAAATTTTGGTGAATTTGGCTTGAGAAATTTGAAACGTCTGCAAAGAAATTATATATATTACTCATAAAATTTTATTTATAAAAAACACACACCTCTGATTGGCTCTCATGTGCTAGCAAAAACTCTCCAAGTGTACTACATACGAAACTCCTCATGGATTCTTTCAACATTTAAGAACCATGACTGGGAATTTTCTCTATGACTCTTTTCCTTACTCTCTTCCTTCCTGTGTTTTTTTCTTGATAACCAACCCCATTCCCCTTATCCACATGTACATACACTCACTTTGTGGGTAAGTGGGTAAGATACACATTAATTACAATACAAAGTGGTATGTGCTATTTACAAGAAGATTGCTAATAACAGAGAAACTTGTTCTAATGTGTGTGTTTTTGAGCAAATTAAATATAAAATATGAAAGCTCCAGAATGCACAGCAAGAACAGCACAGTGAAAATTTGATCGAGTGACGAACTGAAGTTGAGTGAGATGCAGCAGGGGTTGTTCCTGGCATTATTCTGGAAGAGTAGGCAGTGTTTCAGGGGACCCTTCACAGAGGGAGCGATGACTGACTCAGACTTTAAAGTGTGAAAGGGATTTTACCATAAATGAAAGGAAGGAGAAATACCTCAGCAAAGGGAGCGTGGAAAAACTATGGGATGAAAAAGGGAAGGAGTCTTTAGCAAACAAAGAGTATTTTGCAGAGCTGAGGCACAGGGAAGAGAGATGTAGACAATGACACTGAGGGGAACAGAAAGGACCTTATTAGCCACGTAAAAGAGTTTGAATTTTATCCTATGGGAAGACAACGTGGAGCCCTGAAGGCTTTTAAGGATGAGAGAGTTGCAAGACCCAATCTATATTTTAGCAAGAGCAGTGTGGTGGCTGAAGGAATGCTAGAGAAAGAGCTGGAAGACCAGTTAGAAGTCATTACAGAGCTCACGCCAGACTGTTCAAATCATTCATCAAGAGGGCTCTATGTTAGATACTCGTGAAGATTTCCCCCATACATTCTTTAGTTATACCTGAGTTTCCACCGTTAGTTATATATCGATACTAATATATAATTTTCCTACCCCAAATATATCATCTGTGGTTCATAAAATCACATTCCACATGGCAGACAGTAAACATTTAGGTAAATACTTAAGATAATCTCTTACCTGAACAAAGCTGTTCCACTTTTGTGTAGTTTAAAGATACTATGTCATTAACCCATGCAATGATGTCATGTCTGCTCATAGTCTCTTGGGTTATCGAGGTAGAATACACATTGACCGCCATTCCCCAACTAGGAAAAAAACAAACAAGTTTATTTGCCTATGAGGGAAAAATTAACTCAGACACAGAGACACTTACTGAAGGTGGACGTCCCAGACAGAACTCTAAGGGATGTAAAAGTCCTACTTTGGCTAAGCCCTTTCTTTTCTTTTTCTATTCTACACATTTGCTGTGATAATAAATTTCATAGATTGTCATAATTATCATTTCACATCTCCCTCAACTGGACTCAAATGTTCTTCAGTTTCTTAGATTCCTAATTTATCCTTATTAGAGTCTCAATATACGTCTATGTGTGGTATTAAAAAGTTATCAGGTCTGTAACAGTGCACACCAGACTAACTAGCTTCATACATTATTGCATAGTACTTTCACTACTTGCCAACAGCCATCTGCTCATCTAAAAACACTATCATTCTTGCCTCCTCCCTTCCCCTCACACTACATCCAGTCCCCCAACAAATCCTACTGGCTCCACCTTCAAAGTATTTTCAGAGGCTGCCGCCCTGATCCAAACTTCCGTCAATTCTCACCTGGCGTTTTGCAACAGTCTCATGCTCTCCTAGCTCGTCCCCTCACCTCCACTGCCTAGTCTCATCACCACAGGCACAGTGTTCTTATTGGCATAGGTCAGCTCTCTCGTTAGTTCAAAACCCTCCAACAGCTGCTCATCTCAGAGTAAAAATCCAAAGTTCCCAACATGCTTTATAAGGGTTTATATATTCTGTTCCTGATATCTTCTCCTACCCTCCTACTCCCCCCAACACCACTCTATGGTATATATATCATACCATATATCATGTAAATAATATAAACATCACCGTGTGTATGTGCACGTGATTTTATTTTGGAAAATTTTTGGAACATGCAAAAGGAGAGAGAACAGAACAACAAATAAGTTGTGTTTACTTCTTGGCTTTGACACTTATCAATACTTGGCTAATCTCGTTCCATCTATACTTCCATCAACATTCCCTGACCCCAATCCTCCATTCTCCAAGCCAGATTATTTTGAAGTAAATGCCAAGCATCACATAATTTTACCTATTAATACTTCAGTACATCTCTAAAAGATAAAAACATTAAAAAACCCCAAACCATAATAGTATTATCACACCTAAAAATACAAGGTTTCTTAATATCAACAAACATGTGTTATAATATCTTCTAACTTTATTTCAGTTGGTTTGATTCTGGATTCAAATAAGGTTCATATATTGTGATTCTTTGGTATGTACTTTAGGTTTCTTTCTTTATAGGTTTCTTCTCCATTTCTAATACTGCCTTTGCATTTTTTTCTTACTGTTGTTGGAGGAACTGAGTTGGTGGTCTTAGAGTTTCCACAAAGCGGGTTTTGCTCACTGCACCCCATTGGCGTGATTTAACATATTCCTCTGTCCCTTGTATTCTTTTTTTTTAAAAACTCTTTAAAAAAATTTATAGTTGGTATACAATATTACATTAGTTATATTAGTTTCAGGTGTACAATACAGTGATTCAACATTTTTATACCTTACAATGTGATCATGCCCCTTGTATTTTATACACTGGTAATTTGGTCTAAAGGCTTGATCTAAGTTCTAACTCAGGGGTGGGAAAGCAAGACTACTTCATGCAGTGTTTGAACTTCTAGCAGGAGGCACATTCTGTCTGATTGACTCCTTCTATGATTTGTTAGCCATTGGTGGCACTTGCCTACACCTAACAATTTTTTAGAGACTTCAAAGTGATAAATCAAGAATAAATAATAGACTAGTAACTGGAATCATTCTATAAAGAGAAATGTCCCTCTATGGTACCAATCATGCAAGAAAGGCAGAAAAAGATGCCTGCCTGATACTTTCCCTTTACTTACCAGTTTTCAAAACAAAGAGGAAGTCCCATAATATTTTTCAAGCATGACAAATGGCGTTTTATTTTTAAAGTGTAATTATGAACTCATGGATCAAAACATATTTGATATGCTTCAATCCACTGCAGTTTATATTCTATTGATATAAGCTTGCAGAGGGCTTACTCAAGATGGCTTCTGAGTTGTTTTGACAAGGTCCTGGAGGTAGGTCTTCGATAACTTCCTTTGCTTTCTGGTATGACAAAGTGTTCTAGGCTCAAATTGTACATTTCCTGCCTCTAACCTAAAACCAGTCATTTCTCTAAAGGCTCCTTATTCCTTTTAGTCACACATGGTATTCAGAGATAAGTAATGTTTTTAAGCATCACTATATATGACAGAAAAATATATATTGTTTTATAGGTTTTTACATGAAAATCTACAGATTTATGAAACAGTATGTTTGGAGTTCTTATTAACTCTAAGGAAAGCAATAAAAATCTGCTTTTTACTTAAAGTGCTAAATGCAGATTTACTTATAAATAAATGTAAAAATAAATATCCATCCATCCTTAAAAGCACCCTCATCTCTAAATTCTCTTTCCCTGAAGATGTGGAAAAACTCACGGCACTGGCATCCCAGATAATGTGACCATAATTACTGCTTTTCTACAACATTATCAAAGGCTATTTATTTTTTAGTTAATACCTTCCACTTTTTTCTTTAGTCTATCACTTACTATACAAAACCATTGACTTTTAATATCCATTCAAATTTTTAACCAACTATGTAAATTTATACAAATCCTTAAAATAAATAATTCAACATTTAAAATATTTTGGACATTTGATGTAATTTTCATATACTGGCATAACTTTGGGCAGTTGACATACTTTCCTAATGGGTTCCTCTTCAGGCAGCACTGAAAAGCTTTTGTATTACCAGGCAATGTATCGTTGGAGGATGAGGCACCGAGGCCCAGAATTGTGCTAGGTGGCAACAAACCAAACTGGGATGAAATTTTTGCTCCAGATGATTTAAAAACAAAACTAAACACAATGCTGAAGAGAGACAATCGATCTCTTGTTTTAAATGTTAGGCCATCTAACCTTAAGAATATTATGCTAAGTGAAATAAGCCAGGCAGCGAAAGACAAATATCACATGATCTCGCCTATACGTGGAATCTAAAGAACTTAATAAACTGATGAACAGAATAGATTCAATGACATGGAAGCATAGATGAGACTGACGAATGTCAGAAGGATGGAGGAGGGCAGGTGGGTGGAGGGGGAGAGAGTAACTAAAGAATTTATATGCATATATGCACAACCCAAGGGCATGGACAATGGTGGGGAGAGGGACTGGGGAGGGGGAAGGGATGGAGTGAAATGGGTCATTAGGGAGAGAAAGGCACATCTGTAATATTTTAAACAAAAATAAAATTAAAACAAAAGGTTTTAGAGTGCAGAGCACACTACTTGCTACATACAGAATACAAAATAAATTAAGTTGCCTCTTTTTTACATTTGTAATCCTTAATCTAATCTTATCATTCCAAAATTTAGACCACATAGATATAGAAAACTGCAAGAAATCTTTTAAAATATATTTTGAAAATTTCACTGTTACCTCAATATTTTTCTCATTATTAGTGTTTTTAACTGTACTAATAAAAAAGAAAAAAA